GAACAGCAAGAATGGTGAAATGGTAAGCAGACAAATGTTGGTATCTCGATTGCAGAACAAGAAGCAGAAAGACAACGTCAAAAGCTGAAACATATATGAAGAAAAGAGGACGAGTCTACAGCGCCGTACCCAATCGTGAAACGTACAATCGCAGAACGGGCAAGACATGAGGAAATATCGACGTTTCGCCGAATTATCCGAGCGGTGCAGAACAGCACCGCCAGGCGCGCTCGCCTCAATCCCGTTTCTCCGTTGCAACAGGCACATCCTGATGGCTCTCAGACCCGCTCGCAACTTGCGACACCGCTCGACCCGGAGTCGTAGGGCCATATCCAGTCAGGACCTCCATATCCCCATCTGCATCGCTGAAATACTTGTAGTCCAAACCCCTCAGCTCATCATCTTCAGTCGCACGGATATGGCAACCAGGAATCCTGTTGATGATGAAGAGTAAGATGACGGAGACGACAAAAGACCATGCGGCGCATGTAGTCGCAGCAGCTAGCTGGTAACCCATCTGTTTCCAGTTTTTGGCCCACCAGCCGCCTTCGTAGGTGTTGCTTACGCCGTCCATGGCGGGTACGTATGGTGCGGCGAAGAAACCGGTCATGATGTCGCCGACGTAACCGCCGACGCCGTGGATGGCGAAGATGTCGAGGCCTTCGTCGATGCCGAGGAGGTATTTGTAGCGGACTGTGAAGAAGGATGCGCAGGAGGTGAGGGCTCCTATCAAGGCTGCTGTCTGGACTGGCACGAATCCACAGGCTGGTGTGATACCGACGAGACCGGAGATGATTCCCGAACAGAAGCCGATGATGGAGAATCTGCGCGTAAACATGTATTCCAGAAGGACCCAGGCTATTCCGCCACCAGAGGCGGCGAGGTTGGTGTTGCAGACGATGTAGATGGAGCGAAGGGAGAGGTTGGCAGTCGAAGCGCCTACGGACTGTCAGTACACTGCCTCAACTTCTCAACATACAGCCTTCACTCACCATTGAATGCAAACCATCCAAACCAGATCAATATGGTGCCAAGTCCAACAAGGAAAGGGCTATGAGGCTTGAAGTGCGGTATCCTAGGGTGATGCGACTCCTTGTGCGGATCAACGCGCGGCCCTAGCATAACAGCCCAAGCCAGAGCAGAGAAACCAGACGCGATGTGTACAGGACCAGAGCCGGCAAAGTCGAGGACACCAAGCTTGTAAAGCCAACCACTAGGATTCCACTCCGCATGTGCTAGCACGTAGTATACAAACGTAGTCCAGCAAAGCAGGAAGAGCATCGAAGGAAATAAGCGTCCTCGCTCAAGCATCGCCCCAGCCAAGATCATCGCGGTGCAGGTAACGAAAGTGAAACCAAATGCAGCATAGAGTATATCAGGAATGTCGGCGTTTGCGAGCGAAGGGGAAGCGAGTGTGTTGTGTAGACCCGCTTTTGACAAATCTCCCAGGAAAGGGTTGGTTGTATGTGACTGGTAGAGAGAATAGCCGTATACCCAGAATTGGATGCCAACTGCGCAGGCGCAGAAGAGAGATTGGAAGATCATGGTCAGTGCTGCTTTTCGGCGATGCATGCCTGCGTAGAGGAAGCCGATGGCGGGTGTGATTTGCCTGATCGCGATCAGTAGGTTTCGATTCCAGCAGACGTAGAAGTCTTGCATACCAACATAGTACAGTGCTGACCAGCATCCAACACAGATCGCCTTTGTCGTAGAGGGCATTGAGATCAGTTGTCATGACGTCTCCTCCATTGGGATCAACAGCGTAATCCGGCCATTCTGTGATGGGTGTCGGGGCTGGAATAGCCGCCATATTGACAATATGTTGTACGGTAAAGCACCAAAAGTCGTACACTCGGAGCAATTCACAGTACCGAACCCTCGGGGATCTACCACGTTTATATCCAGCGATCTCTTCCCTACGCACGTCTCGGTTGCACGAGCGCACCATCTCTTTCCCAGGATAACATGATATGCAACGCCTCGTTTCCAGCCAACCAAACCCCCGCTAGCAGAACCACTGCCATGGGAAGGAATTTTTCGCCGTGATCGGTATAGTGAGAGACATCCAGAGTTCCTTATCGTTCCACTTCCCCAGGACACTAAGGAGGAGTGGAGATGGCCAAGGAGGCGGAAAGCGGAAGCCAGCCATGTGTATCGCTTGGCGGAAGATAACGGGACGTGGGGTACCGCGCACGTGGAATGCATTACAACTCGCCCATCGCAAGTGCCTCACGACGACATTGTCAAAGACTTTCGGAAACGAGGTCCCAACACTTGCGCATTCCCGTAGACAAAGTCTCGTTATCCATGGCTTTGCTGTCTACCCACTTGCGGGTGGGCGGGCCCTTGCATGTAAGCTCGATATCTCCGGCCTTATCGGCGTCGATCCTGTACTGATAGGTATGCATGGTCAGCCTCAAATGGCTAAACACATGAACCAATGGCGGAAAGCTGGCAACAAAACGCGCTTTGCTCATGTCAGCGGCGCCGGCATCGAGGTCAGAGATGTATTGCTGCGCCGACGTCTTGCGCTGCTGAGGCGTCTTGTGTGATGCAGTCAGCGTGTTCTGCGGAAATTGCCTGTATCACGGTCAGCGTACGCCCCAGCACTAGATAAGAAAAGCCGAGCAATGGGCCTATCATGAGACATGATATGATGCTGGACGGCAATGGGCGTTAGGCAGTACCCGAGCAGCCACCCAGCAGTGGCGCCATGATAGCATGCGTTTATTACGTACCACAGTGATGCGAGGAGACCTTCACGCAACCGTCAGCAGTGCTTTAGTATCGTAGTGCAAAGCTTACCTTTGGCGGGCCTCTGCTCTATCAGCCATTTACTGCTGCCGTCATTCGAGCGCAACTCTACCATGCATACCACACAGTCTTCTTCGGCTGCCTTCTTCTTCGCCACTTTCTTCGGGAACAGTGAGCAGTAAGTGGATATAGATTTCGACTCCCCAGTAGGTGCCGGCAGCTTCCGCTTTTTGGAATCATCGACAAGTGGGCTATCAAGATCCTCCTCGTCGTCTTCCGTTTCTACGTTTGACTTGGGCGTTCCAACGGAGAAGTACTGCGAGATAGTGTTTGTTTGTTTTGTGGCGGCTTTTCTCTTCTTGTTCGCTCGTGGCGGCTCATCGTTCGTTGCGTCTTCAGAAACCGCAACCAAGTCTTCGGTATCCAACGACGCACAAAGAGAGCATGCATCCTCTATGTCAGGCACTACAACCGCCGACTGGCGCTTGTCAGATAACGCCTTTCCTTCGCTATAGGCCCTGCATGTCGACTGAATAGGACACTCGTCACACCTGGGTCGCGGCGTACACAGTGTGGATCCGAGTTCCATAAGCGCTTGATTCCACAGCCCGGGCACCTCACTCGTCCGCGTTTCCGGAAAGTTAGAAGCATGTTTGATTAGTCGATCGGCCATATCCCAAAGAACGTCTGTGGCCTTCTTGTCCTTAACATCCATGTACAAACCCAGCTGTCGACTGAGCACGCGCGCCACGTTCCCGTCGAGGACAGGCTCTGCTTCACCGAATGCGATACTAGACACCGCGCCTGCGGTATACCTTCCAATGCCGGGAAACTCCTGTAGCTCCGTAGCACCACTGGGAAGAGCACACGAGGCACCAGCAGATTTGGCAATCATAGCCTTCGCACCTTCATGAAGGCGTGTTGCACGTGAGTAGTAACCCAGACCCTTCCATACGGAAAGAACATCATCATGGTTCGCTTCGGCAAGATCTTGAACTGTGGGCCACTTTTCGACCCAGTTGTTGAAGTACGGTATCACTGTCGACACGCGAGTCTGTTGGAGCACTATGCAATTGTCAGCCAACGGTTCCTCAAACCTCCAGAGACGCGATTGCGAACAGAGCACGTGACACCGCGTTCACGCGTCCAATCGCAAAAACTCCACCACAAAGAAAATGATATACTCACTAACTTCCGAAACCCAAACCTCATACGCCCTCTTCGACAAAACGCGTCCCAGCTCTTCCTTATCTTCGTACTCTTCCGGATCAATCCATTTCTTCCTCCACGGCATACTACGCGTCTCCGCAACGCCATGGAACCAACTCAACAACGCGTCGCAACCAGATCGACCGTCCAAAAGAAGCGGGTAGTGGTACGACGCATCGTGTGCGCGTGCAGGTGGTATTGCTGGCGTTAGAGGTGTTGCGGGAGGTGCAATGATGGATTTGCTGGGTTTGCTAGGTTTGCTACTGGGCTTGGCGACCGTGGTAGCCTTCTTGCGCGGGGCCATGGCGCGTTGGATACGTGTGTAGATAATTGTAGAGGGTTGGCAGTCCAATGGCGAATTGATGTTGCTGGTTGCAATGCTTCGTGATGCAGGTTAGGTGTAAGGGGAGGGATTTGTGGAGATGCGATCGCGCTAAGCTTTGCTAGTGCTCCGATCGAGCTTACTGCTTCATCTCCTGAGCGCAACATGACGCATATTCATGACTTCTCAGCCAGTACTCGGAGTCGTTTGCTTGGAATTTAGATAATTAGATGGCACCATCTTTGTACATGTGCGTAGTGGAGTGCATCGTACTTCTAATGGTGCCGATTCTGTTGTCAGGCGAAAGAAACATCCGTGAGCTGCTTAATGAAACCCAAGTTCAGAACACGTTCAGATCGAGTGCGAATAAAGAAGACGGAGACAACTGGTGGATAGTATTCAGCTCCGTCACGGTGCCATGCAAGTCATCCAACGCCCAAGAAAATGCTGTTCCAGAAAGCGACAGAAGCTATCTACTTCGCGCGCATATGATGAAGGTTGCCACATAAGCTAGTTAAACATCCATAAATATCCAATCCAAATCAATATGGGGTATAGGAACAAAGAAGAAGAACAACAACAACGAAAGTAAGTGCTCGCTAAATCCAAGGGTCCCTTGGCGTATGCCGACAGAGTCTAACCCAGATATGTGTGATGCTCGCCGCAAACAAAAACAGCTATGCCGGCGGTCTAAATGAATGATAAAAGTCGATCGCTAAGCGCGCGGAGATGGTTCATGTTGCAACCAAATGTCGCCACCTTCTCCCTTCTCCCATTTCTTCCATGCTATCTCATAAGCATCTTCCAAGTCTCTGACCCAGCGTCTGGTGTCGAAAAGCGGGCTTGACCATCGTGATTCGTAAAGCATGCGGCGAAGCTCACTTAAACGGCCTTGCGCTCGGTAGCCGTTATACGTGCAGTTGCGTGCGAGACGTACGGCCATGGCTTCGTAGTCGTCGTCGTTGCTCGCAATGAGCTCTTTCGCAGCTTGAGCACCTGCTGGTGTCTTGGGTAACGCGCCCTTGAGAATTGATGCTGCCATGCGAGAGCACATCTTGTACTTGTAGCGAGGTAAGGTCAGTAGTGGTGTTCCAGACCAGAGGACGTCGGCGGCGGTTGTGTGTGCATTGCACTCCGGTGTATCGAGGAACAGATCGCAGACACGAGCCCTAGAAATGTGCTGATGCTTCTGTGCAACATCGGTGAACATGATGCGGCTTGCTACATCTGCACCTGCCCAGGCAAGAGCTGTCTGCTTGAGGTTGGTCTCGCCGAGATCGGGAAAACGCAAGAGCCAGAGAACGGCATTGGGGACCTTTTCAAGAATGCGTAACCAGGTGCGGAACGTCGTGGGCTCGATCTGATGATAGCGTTAGTACGCGATCAAACGCATGGTAGAGGTACAATTGAACTTACCTTGTACAGCTGGTTGAAGTTTGCAAGGATGATCGCATTATCCGAGAGGTTCGGAAAGATCTCTTTACGCATGGCCCACCTGCGCTGTTGCTCTTCTTCCCAATTGGGCTGTCGTCCTTGCGAATCTGGAGCACTTTGTCGGTGGTCACAGCAGAAGAACGTGTCCCGGCAGAAGACAATGTTCTCTCCGTAGATCCATTCTTCGTCTGAACCTCCGCTGTTGTCGTCTACAAGAGCGTCTTCCAGGTCAATGTTACGGCGCCATTGTCGGAGTGTATCTGGAGGAACAGCGGTGTCATCGGCAAGAAGATAGTCGCACCACTCGGCGCCGAGAGTACCTGCGAAACCCATGAACGCCATCTGGATAGGGGCGGGACGGGCAGCGAAGACTTCATTCCGCGCACCTCTAGTGTAGCCGTTCAAGTTGACAAGAACATGGATGCCATCTTTAGTTATCTGGTGAACAAGTCGTTCCGCTGACCAGCTGCTGGCATCGTAGAAGACAGGCGATTCCCTCTCAATCTGCTTGCGATGTTCTGATCCGTCACTCGCTGTGGTGGCATAACAGTATGCCCTCACTCTACCTGGATTGTGGAAACCGAATACCGACTGCATCAAGTGGGCCAACGGGTGATTGTTGAAATCCGATGATACGTAGCCGACCTTCAAGAATGGTTTCGGTGGCGGAGGAGGCTGGTAGACGGTAGCAGGTAACCAAGGGACTCTTAACGTCGAGGTCGAGATGCGGAGGCCATTACGTTGCGAGATAAGGCGTATCTGTTTAGCCGACATGGGGCAGGTGAATGTGTGGAATGGTAGGACAGTAGGCGCCGCAGGTACCGTCAAAGCTGCTGGCAATTGAGGTCTCTTGTAGGAGGCCGGTGGTCGCTGCGTTCCAGTTACGTAGCGATCCTGGTACCATTGCCAAGTCATCCATCGTATAGCACGCTCAACGAGTCGTACGATGCGAGCACCCTCCCACTTTTGACCCTTCCATTGCTGCAACACTGACACCATGCTATTTTCCTTCTCTTTCACATTTTGCGTGCTCCCCGTGAGAGCCAGGGGACGGATGACATCTTGTATGAATTGTTCATTCATCATGCCTCGACCCCAGTCCTCACCATCGGCAAGCTGTTTCTCGACCAATTTCACGACTTTGTGGATCCAACCTGAGCTCGAAGCACCGGGTATCTTGGCGTCTAGAAGCATGCCACTATCGTTGACATGCCAGCGGTCTCTTGATCCGCCGTGCTCGGCAATACCACCTCTGCCAGCCCAGTTGCAAACAGAGTTAAGGGCATTAGCAAGCCCGCAGACAGCTTCGGCAAAGTCCGGACTGGACTTTACTGCTTTTCTGTAGTAGTAAATGGCATCAGCTATCCGGCCTTTGTCTTTGACGGCGTTGGCGAGGTTGGCGAGAGCAATGTCGAAGTTCGGATCACACTTGACTGCCTGTGTATACATGTTTATAGCAGAATCTAGTTGGCCAATATCTTTCAAGAGGCTTCCAAGGTTTGTATAGAGATGCGCATGGGATGAATCGAGCTGGAGTCCGTAGTGGTAGTACGCAAGCGCAAGAGCTACTCCACTACCGGGCATCAGCCCAGGGATTTGGGGTCCGGCAAAAGCATGCGACATTGGATTGGCTTTAGAAGGGGCAGATTGCTGTACGCTAGCGAGAAGAATGCCTACGTTGTTTGCTGTCGATGGGCTGGGCTGCAGGGAAAGCGACAGGTAGTATAGAGCCAAAATCTCTCGTACACCATAGTTGCTTTGGTAAACGGTATTCTTGGGTGAATTGGTTGCCATGCCGTCCTGGAAAATCTTTGCTAGCGAAAGCAGAGAGTTGCTTGTAGTCGAGATAGCCGCTTTCCTAGAGAGACCTTCGCTAGGAACGTATTTCAGACCTGGAAGTTGGCCGTGCGGCGCAAAGCAGAGCAAAGCCGTTCTGGTCGCTGCGTCCGGCGGTAGCAGTATAGGATCAGACGATGGGGGCATACGTCGGCCTCCTGGAGAGCGTTCCGCTACATTGTATCCAACGACGCCAAGAATGCGCCTGATGAGGCCATCGATGCCATTAGGATGAGGACCAGATGCGATGAGGACCGCGTTCTCGAAAGCCCTGGCGGCACCGGCATTGTCGCCGAGTGCGTACAGCATGTTGCCCTTGGCATGTACCAGAGCTAGAACGCGACCGTTGTCGCAACCAGCAATGGCATATCCGCTTGAACCAAAGCCTGGCTGGTCCGAGCCAGGGAGCTCGTCTAGATCCTTGAAAACGGCTTCGTCCTCTCCCTCGAACTCAAACACGGGCCGATCAGACGCTTCCGACAGACTTGACTCGCTTATTTCAGAGGCAGAACGTTCGCTCTCAACTTCGAGGCTCCGAAGAGCGTCGGCCCTTTTGGCAAATCTCAAATGGCGTTCAACTTCTTCGATGACCTGAACAGCTTCACGACCTTTGTGGTCACTACAGAGTAATCCAATCAGGTGCTCGACAGCTTCGAAGTAACTGGGGCGAAGTTTCACTGCGCGTCTCCAGTAGTTTTCGGCTTCACGCTTCTGCTGAAGAGCAAGCATTGTAGCTGCAAGGTTCGAGATAGCTTCAACATGACTGATGTGCGTTAGTATGACTCGGGGATAGAAAGTGGGGTGCTTACTCTTTGTCCAAGGTAAGGATGTGTTTGTACCAGTCCTGAGCCTTTTGATAGTCACCTAGTGCATACGCGAGACAACCGCCCAAAAGTATGCCATCTATCCAGCTCCATTTACTCTCTTCACAATGCTTCGTGATCGCTTCGAGCGCTGAGGCAGCGGTCATACTCGGAGGCAGGCCCTGACGGAGATTCTGATGGGCGCTTGCGACTGAGCCGGAGGTCCGCCGCAAGGTACGTGGTGGATCCATGCCTGGCATTGGGGGCAACATCGAGTGCTGCGGTGGTACCCCTTGCCATGATTGGCCATTTGCATCCGAGCTGCCTACGGACCACGCGGACAGGGAGCGCGAGTGTGGCATTGCGGGTCTCCTAGATCCGAAATCTGCCCTCGAATGAGAGGCATACTGAGTAGGAATGGGATATGAGACACGTCGCTCCAGGGATGGAACGCTGTTGGTGGAGGAACTCGACAGACTGAGTCCAGGCTGCCGTGGCGGCTTAGGATAGATGTGTGGTCTATGGTGTGTACGTCCATGAGCATTTTGCGAATCGGCTTTACGTGTTGATTGAAGGTACTTGAGTAGGTCCACATATACTGCGTGAGCCCAAGCAAACACCTTTTCCCGACTTTGTCCGTTGGGTGACTCTGGCCCGTACTCGTCGATCGGCAAGGTGGGGGTATACTCCGCGACTGGCGTCGTCTGACCAGAGTGCAGGTAATCTTGAGGACGCTGTGTGAGTGGTGGAGGTAGCGATTGATTCTGATAATCTAACGCGACATGGTTTTGAGGGTGTGCATAGGGGGACAAGTCTATTGACGGCCTCGCTGGATGATTGTAGGCGCCTTGGGTATAATCCAGGTGGACAGGATTTTGCGGATAATGAGCATAGTTGGGCACGACATTGTAAGGGTGACTGATAAAGGCGTTACTATGCGGGTGACTCCAATTGTGACTCGGATGGTGTAAGAAACGAGGATCCCGCATAGCAGCAGGCCGATATGGGATGTAAGTGCCGTCGTGCCAGTAGGGTCCGAATGGTCCTTGGTCGTTGGAAACAGTCGGATTCAAAGGCGCCTGGAAGGGCGGGCCCATAGGCCCGCAGAAGGGATGGCCATACATCTGATATGGAAGAAGAGGTTGTAATGTGGGTATTTGATTCAGCATAGAATCAATCTGGGGCAGGTGCTGGCCTGTAAGACCCGACCCGGTCTCGAAGTAACGACTGGGACTCCATTCTGGCGTGTTCTGTTGACCATGTCCGAAACCACTGTTGACACCTGGCGAGCGAAGAGGGAGATCCTGCTTGACACCGTATGGTGGTTTTGATTCAGCTGTCACGGGGAGCAGAATGTGCTTGGTTGCATGCGGCTCTCCGTTCTTTTCGACAGATGTGCCGTCGTACGCAGCTGCCAGAATGCCGTTGGGCGTCTTGCGGCGAAGCATGTGTTCTGCGGGTTTGGGTGTCCGGCCAGACTCGGAGGGCTGGGAGCCGTACGAGTTGTGTCTGGAGAGCGGGTGGGCGTACTGCTGCGGTCGCGCTTGCTGAGCGAGACTGTGTCCCTCGAGGTTGGCGGCATTGCGCAGGAACGGGGCGTGGGCGGGGGCAGGAGCGATGTTGTTGTAGGCCACGGAGGAGGGAAGCTGCGACGGCGGCTGCGGGGGGTACTGCCGAACCATAGTCATGGTGAGATATCAGACAAGTCGTGGGAGTGGTGTTCAGAGGGTCGACACAGCCTCACCAGGAGCGACTGGTGCCGATGCCTTCGCGAAATCGTCGCCTGTCTGCTACGACTGACATGTCTTTTGGGGCGTGGCTCGGATTCCTCAGCACCGGGCGTCCCCGTACTGGCACGTCACCAGCAGAGACCCCGGCAGTAGCGGGAGAACAGGTGGTCGCAGATGCTGTCGGCAGCAGGAAGGCGTCTATTTACGGCGCCGGTAATGACGGGTGTGTCGCGGGGTTGGATGGGAGCGGAGTGTGGCGGTGGCCCCAGGCGTCAGCGCGCGATGGATGAGGATATGCGGCAGGAGCGGTGGCCGGTGGTGTAGGCATGTAAGGGCGGGTCCCTAGACGTGTCTGTCTGGAATGTACCCACTCGCATGCACCAGAGCCGCCGGTCTGGCTGCGCACTCGCGGGCGGATAGTTTGCGCGTTCGTGGGACGCGGTCGGGCGTCGTGTCGCGGAACGGGAGTCGTCTGCGCGGAGGGCGTACAGCAGCGGGCTTGGGGCACAGGATAAGCGTGGTACGGGCGGCGACCTGGGGCGCAGCAGCGGTCCGTCACGTCGTCTCTGCCTGGCTGCGTGTCTGCAGCTGTCCAGCGCCCGAGTCGGAGGGCGAGAATGTCAGCGCTCAGCAGGTGCGGCGATGCCTGCTTTTTCTCACTGTCGGCGGATAGGCGGGCGCGAGAGATGACGAGGTGTGGTGCGGCGGAGACCAAGCAGCGGCAGGCCTATCCACTTCCGTATGCACTCAGTCGTTCGAGTGGTGGCTTGGAGCGATCCCTGCTGCAACACGACAGGCCGTCTGGGGGTTTCCGGTGATGATCGATGATCGATGATCGCGCTCTACGCAAGACGTGTCAGGCGCCGGATGTCAATACACGTGAGGACCGAAAGACTGAATGCCGCTCGCTGCTACACCGACTCGATGAAAAGAAAAGTCGGTCCTGATGCTCTCCGCATCGCGCGTCGCCAACTCCACCTGGGCGGGCTGCAGAGCCATCAAGCCGCCAGAGACGGCGGCTTACCAGGGCCCTAGTCCCATCCAACGTTCACGGCGATCTCCAGCGCCAATCAGCCTTCTAATCCACCAGCGCGTCCATCAATGCAGGTGCCGCAATATCCACTGGGCCACCACCATGCATCCAGCGTCCAACAGCCCGCCGTGCCCGTTCTTTGTCACCTAGTCAGGCCGGCCCTTTCGCTCGCGCTCTGATGATGTAGGCTGGGGCGCCCGAAACGCCCTTTGTATTTAGGCGAGACTACCGCCGCTCATACGGCTGCAGCTGCTTGTCTGACTGAGACGGCTGCATATCTGTCTTCACATGTCGAACCACGATTATAGTAACTCATCACTGATGCCATGTTTCATGTGCCAGGCGCATGTCGATCCGCATAGCGTACCAAGAAAGCGGCACCGGACGGAGCGGAAGCTGTGTATTCGACAGCACATGACCATGAGCAGGAACTCAATGTGCATGTATGTTGACCTCGAAAAAGGACCACTGGAGCCAAACCAAAAGGCAAGACAACGCGGTGAGTAATGGGTCATTTCCTCTTCTTCACACCAAAATAGGCCTATACAGTAAGGGAAGTAAGGGCCAGAGTGTTGGTGAAGTGAACATCACGAGCATAGTGTCGCCGCCAGAACCATGCCAGCATGCATGGTTCGGAGCATGTCCAGGCAGCGACGTAGTGAGCTGGCTTGATTCTGATATCCAAGTTTGCTTGTCGGGACTGTACGTGGAAGCACCGCATGCGCCCAGGCGACACGAAGCGGCGCTGTTCCAGGCGAGCATCAACGCCTTGCCGCAATGGCCAGACGTGCGCCTCATCGCCAAAGGCGTAGAGTAGATGCAGGTACTCAGGAAAGAGCGGTAGTTAGTATGAGATGTAGTTCGATGGGTCCCTGACTGTATACTGTGCGCCCAGCCATTGCTCATTGGCAAGTTTGCATGCGGATGCAATAGCGATGATGGCTGAGAGTAACAGACAGTAGAGTGCAGACCAGTGCGTGTAGTCGTGAATGCAAGGAGAAGGAAATGTGGTAGAAGTTGGTGTTTGCGTTGTAGAGAACTGGAGTTGCAGCCCGCAGAGATTTTATTCTATCGGAGGTGGCTTAGTCATGCCGCGCTCGGCCCTACCATTCGCAATGTGGCATCATTACGAATGTTCCACGGTGGTCAGACACTGAGCCTATATCCCTCCGGACGCCCTCCACACCAAAGGAATCCCGCACAGGCACCGCTGCACTCACCTCACCGAACGTCACGAGTCTCCCTTTCACCATGGAAGAGCAAGGTCCCCCACCGCAGCAGGGTCCTCCTCAAGGCGGGCCACCACCAGGCTCATTTTCTATTCCCATTCCCCTCGGACCCAATGGCGAAAAGCCTACGCCAGAGCAAATACAACAGATCAAAATGCAACTAGAGGCCGAGGCAGCGAAACACGGTATCACGGTCCAAGAATACGTCGGAAGATTGCGCCAGCAAGCAATGGCCCAGCAACAGGCGCAAATGCAGGCGCAACAGCGTGCTCAGCAGCAGCAGCAACAGCCCATCCAGCCCGGTCCTCCCAAGCCAGAAGCCATTGCTGTCGCCAACTGGCTGAAGTCGCAGGACTTGAAGCCTAGGACAGTCGTACATGACGAGAAGAGGAAAGACATGTTCAAAGGTAGGCATTGCATACACCCAAGTTATAGACGTCATACTCACACCCAACAGTCAAGCGAGCAATCCGTGCCCTCCAGTCCCCCGCATATCAAAAAGCCCGAGCAAAGAACCCTCTCCTCCCCGAAGTCATCGACCGTGCCTCCGCCGAGAACTGCTTCAAGCTGCTACCCCTCTCTCTCCTCGCCCTACGAGTCACAAAGGTCGACGACCATGCGCACGATGGCCACAACCACGCCAAGCCCAAGCGCGTCAAGGGTCTGTGGACAGTCAAGATCGAGCAGCACCAAGACGCGAACGACGATAACTACTACATCTGGCTGTACGAGGGATCGCAATGGAAGCAGAAGCTGTACGCTGTTGGCGCACTGCTTCTCGTCATTACGATAGTGCTCTTCCCTCTATGGCCGCTTTTCTTGCGACAGGGCGTGTGGTACTTGAGTATGGGCATGCTTGGTCTTATCGGACTGTTCTTTGCCATGGCGATTGTTCGGCTCATTATTTTCATCATCACCGTCTTCACGATACCACCTGGCTTCTGGCTCTACCCTAATCTGTTTGAGGATGTTGGTTTCTTCGACTCGTTCCGACCTGTTTACGCATGGCAAGAGGTATGTTTCCTTTGCTGAAGCTTGTAGACTCAATGCTAATGTTTCCAGACCCCCGAAGACATCAAGGCGAAGAAGGCTGCAAAGAAGGAGAAGAAGGCTGCCAAACTCGCCGCAAAGGCTGCCGGTGGAAAGCCCAAGAAAGGAGCCATCGACGCTGCCCCCGCCCAAGCTGCACCAGCATCTGCTGCGGCCCCCGCCTCTGAGCCTGTCAACTCCGCACCACAGCCTACCGGTTCAGAAGCCGCTCCAGAGGGTGCCGTCACACAACGGGCGCCGCGCGCAACGGTGGAGGAGGTAGAGGAGGAGTAGAAATCCTTCTTAGAAGAGGATTGCACGTACTCTGATGAAGAGGATCACGCGTACTCTGAAGAAGAGGTAGAGGACGCGTACTCTGAAGAAGAGGTAGAGGACGCGTACTCATCGGACTGACAGCGGTTTGACACTTTGCATGGGTTAGCTGGAAGGAGTAATCGGCGTTTACGAGAACGGTTCACATCCATCCACATCTATGCACGCAGCAGAGATTTTGGCGACGGATTATAGGGCATGGGGTGTCTGGAGGATACCAGGGTGTTTGTTCCTGTACATGTTTAGTGTAGCGATTCTTTTCTTGCTACATACTCCAATTCGATCACTCGACATATCTTCAACTTGTATACTTGATACCCACGGGACGTATACCGGGTAACACCATGCCAGATACCTACTACGCCACCTTTTCAGCTTACACTTTATTGCCCCAACAACTTTCTGACAACTATCCACCAACTAAACAGAAAACTCTGCTTGAGCACTGTCCCATCACCACCAAGCAAGACTCTACCCAAACACCGTCTCCCAACCACCAACAAAGCCACGTACACAACGCGGGGTACTTGTCCAATCAATCTCGGAAGTGGGGTCCCTTGTCACATCCATCAAGTTTACTATTTTTTCCTCGCTATCGATAAATTATGCGCGGGCGTAAAGGTAAACGCTTAATGTACATCAAACAAGGTCGATTCATGTCCCGCGAAAAACGGAAAACTCTACACGTGGGTGATTACGGTATGTTCGCTTACGCCGAGGTGGGGAAGGGACGGGATGAACGGTTGTTGCATTCGGTTCGGGGGTTGGGTGCTGGGTTGACCTTGGTGCTGGGATGGGTGTGGTAAAGTTGGGTGGAGGGGGGTTCGTACGAGGGTTTGTTGGTGAGAATACTGGGATGGTATGGAAATGATCATGTTGGCATGGTGGGTTTCGTGCATTCAAATCGTGAGAGCAGATTGTGGGTGGTTCTGTAGACTAAGCTGGGGAGGAAGTGGAGAATTGCGGTTTCATGCGTGCAAATGAAGAAACGAGTCGGGATAATAGAAATTGAACCTCGATTCTGACTACATCCTGCGAATGTGCTGGAGGAAAACTCGCCCTTCTCGTACCGGAGAATTATCCTAAACGCCATTCAACCATGCAGCATAATCATTTTTTCCTGCGCCAGCACGCTTCGTCAATGTCGTATGATGAGGCGCCCGAACCAAACGCCCTTGAAACACAGTCTAGCGAGAATTCCTACTCCGCCGATGCAGGTGGCTGACCGCCCTCGATACCTTGGTCTGTGTTTTCATGAGTCGAGGCAGGAGCGAGGCCGGAGTGGACGGTGGGAGAGTGGGTGACTTGGCTTGTAGGGTTTTGGTCTGCTAGTTGGCGCTCTGGGATCGTCGTGTTAGCACCGTGCTTCAATGTAGTGTCAGAGATGGCATACCAAGTTCTCTTATCCTTAGCTTCAGCATCTGGTTTTCACGAGTGAGGTTCTGAGTTTCGGCCTGGTAGAAAGCACTCTCATCTCTTGAGGTTGCTGGACTGGGAAGCATGTCGTGGGGGTCATAGGGTCCTGCTTGGCCTGATACCGGGCGCAGGGCAGGAGATCCTGCATGGCTGCTGTGTCGTGAACGATCCGCAAAGGATGACTGGCGACTGATAGTACCGAAGCCGAACGGAGAGCGAGATCGAGGGTGGGTAGCGGATGGCAAGGGTGAGACGATAGGTGGTGAGATGTGTGTGGACTGCGTAAGTGAGGGAGGTATAGACATGGAACGCTCCGAGGTTGGGGTGCTGTCGTCGACGGCGGAAGCAGAGGGCTGCTGCTGGTTTGCTTGGAGGGTGTTGATCTGGGTTTGCTGGGAACGAATCATGTTGAGTAGTCGGTTCTATATATGTCAGTACAAGACGGTCCCGGGAAGACTGAGCAGTAAAGCGGTAGTTTGCTCTACACTCTGCCATGGTAATAGAAACTCACCACCTGTCCTTCCTGCTCATACTCCAGCTCTTGATGCAGCTCGCCCAAACTAGGCGCACGCTCATGGTGCGGGCTATGCGGCCATGGACCCCTGCTACGGGAGGATGGGCTCTGCTGCATTTCTCCAGGTGCCGGGATAGCTGGGTCGTTCAAGTTGAGGTTCATGCGAATGCTGGACCGGCGACGCGCACGCTCGACATCCCTGCGCATACTACCAGAAGAGGGCCGGCGCGTCTCTTCGTTGTGAATACCTGCATTCATCGCGGCAGTGGCAGCGAGTGAGTGCGGTGAAGTAGCCATGGTGCGTGAGTTTGTGGGTGACTGGTTGCGGGGTGAGGGAGATGCATGGGGAGAGGCGGGCAGGGTGTTCAGATCGGGCGCCATGGTACTTAGGACCTCTTAGGACCTTAGGTGGTGGTGTGATGTGCCGTCCTAAGAATGAGGCGCGGGCATAGGATGAAGTCACCAGCGACGCGTGACCTCGTGCTGAGCTCCCGTTCGATGAGGTTGGTGGGGTGAGCGGGGCTAAGCGTGACACCTGGGCGGCCCTGAGCACGGCCAGCGCTACTGCAAGGTACACCTGCGCCCACGCCGCATCCTCCCCAGGTCAGCCTCATTTCCTTTTGCTGTCTGTTTCCTCGCTCCAGCCCTGCGAAATCTCGCGCCGCAATAAGATTCGCACTATTCCCACTGTGCATGCCACCCTTGTGCAGCGGCGGGCATCGCAGCTCGATAATCGATACGTGCATGCACCTCGCCGTCTGCGTCACACCTGAGACGACCTCACCACTATGCAAAACGCCCCGAGTTGTGTCGCTCTACATAGAGCACTCCGCGGGTACTTCTGCCGCAGTGCCCGCGCTGCTTTTTCGCGCCCTCACCACTATGCAAAACGCCCCGAGTTGTGTCGCTCTACATAGAGCACTCCGCGGGTACTTCTGCCGCAGTGCCAGCGCTGCTTTTTCGCGCCCTCACCACATGTTCTCAGATGCGTGTTTGGCGGGAAGGGGCCATGGGTTCCGCAATAAGGAATATCGAGCTTGCGAACCCCATCCAATATCTCCGAGTATTGACTGTCGGCGATCATTCATGCCGACATGTCGTAGATCGTGCAGGCCTCGACTCCAGTCACGACGCCGTGCAATCAAATCTCCACGTTGGGCCAGCACGCCAGCAAGCTTCAGCGACGGCCTTGGGCACGGTGGCCCGAGGCTGCCGCTGAAACATCGTGGCTGCACGTCGACAATCTTCATCGTCGTCGGCGCCTGATGAGATCCCGCTGCGTCCGGGCAACACACCTTCGCCGTCTGGCGTCGAGTCTATTATGTAGCTTGCGAGCACTGTCAAAAGACGTTGTGCCGACACTTCACCGGCTAGCCAGGTCAAACACGCCAATTTTGGCCAGGCGAGCGCTAGCGTGCGGCGCCATCGCATCCCTCCCAACTTTCTTCTGAATATGACCGTAAAGGGGCCTTCGTGCAGCCCCTGCGTCCTCGCATCACACACGACGGAACCTGGGAACAGCTCCCCCTGTACGCTACCATGATTAGGGAGCATTCATCTGCGGCAACTAACGCTTGCCACATTTCCTCTCCACGACTCAACTCAACGTTGACAAGTCGTTTCAGTCCCGTCTGCTTTCCTCTGCTTCCGTCATATCTGCAGCTCGTTCTGCTTCTCTAGGGGCTCATGTCCTGTCCTCTCGTTTGACTCCTCCCTCTCCTAGTATTATACTCCTGCCACCTATACCACGCTCCTTCTACCCCCAACCTGGCAACCTTGGAATCTCCACACTCTCTACCGGCGCACTGATCTCGCCATACTGCAGCACTACACTATTACTCCCACGACAAACTACTTTCTACTGACTCCATACTTTGACTCGGTCCGACGGTTTGCTTACGCTGAATGCAAGCCTACCCTGTCAGGGTCTTGAGGAACGCTTGGATTGCCCGTGCAACCAATTTGCACGACCTGGATTGCCCGCCCACATCTACCGTTTGAGCCAACGTTGCTCTGGTATCGACCGTACTTCGCCGGCTTCATAAGCCAAGGTCGCCCACCATGTCCGCCCTGTCTGGCCAAATCTATGCTGCTTCGTCCAATCCTGTCGGCAACATGCGGAACAAGACTCACAACTCATCGATGTCGTCTCGATGGCGCTTCAATCGGTCCACCGCGACTCTGCAGGAACCGGAACGGTCACCATCCGTCGCATCACAAACACCGTCGATAGGGAAGAAACAGGCCCCGTTGCCAGCACCTCCTAAGAAAGTGGAACGCGTTGCCTCCAAGATGTCGTTGTTCAGCCTCTTCAGTAAACCCAAAGTAGAGAAAGCTCGCGGGCACACCGAGGTTGGCCTTGCCGTACCAATGCGACCGCAGACGCCACCTAAACCCAGCCCACCGATCTCCATACCCAAGTCTTCTCTCCGACAGAACCCTTCTCCGCCCGCCCAGCAGACGATTCGCGCACGCTCAAGCCAGATCTTCCGACCCGTTTCGATGCGACCAGCTGCATTACACCACGAGTTCGGAAACTGGGATCCACCTCCGCTGTTCCAGGCTTTCCCGCAGTCTTTGAAGCACGCTACCGTACAGGCATGTGTGTTCGCCCCGGAGATCCTGATGAGGACACAAAGTCAGAGACAACAGGCTGAATCGCTGCGCGAGAAGTTAGACATCCAGCGCGACTTGTCTACCATCGCAGAGAACGGCGCAGAGACTAAGAAACTAGAAAAGAACCACAAGCGCCTCATGTCCAACTCGGTGCTGAACCCACAACCTCCGGAGCTTGTCAACAAGATATACATTCTGGTCACGGCCGGCTTTGTGCTACAGTATGCCGGTGATGGCGCGTTCGATCGCTTGCCTGAAAAGGTGCTCAAACTCGGCAAGGAATCAGCGGCATTTGCGTGCGATCTCATACCTGGCAAGCACTGGGTGCTACAGATATCCAGCCACGCAAGCGACGACGGAACATTTGAATCAGGACCAAAGAACTCTCTTCTTGCTCGGTTGCGAACACAAAATGCCACCATGCGCAAGACAGCCACAAGCTTTCTCCTCGTTCTCGAGAGTGCGGAAGAGATGGACGAGTGGATGACCAGTGTGCGTAAGGAGATCGACAGCCTCGGCGGCATGAAGGCAAAGGATGACTACGCGCGAGCGTCCTCTTCTACAGATGACTCCACTGGCAAGAACTCCTCAGAAACAACTAGTCACCGGTACAGGGTTAACCGCGACCCAAATGCTGTCAGCAGGATCGTGTCCACGGAGCCGCAGCTTTCAACGTCGCCGAAAATCGTGGCCTCTGAATGGGACACCAGTGAAAAGGACCAGACCAAGATCAGCATCGACTCTTCTAGTGGACAGTCGGCTAGGTATAACAACAACAATAACAGCCGCATCTCGATCGAAATGTCATCTGTTGCTTCGACGCCTGTCTCTCAGCATCAAGTACAGCTTGACCAGCTTCGCGGACGGTCACGATACTCATTCATGTCGACAGCGACGTCAGCCTCAGGCGCAGGCACCCGCAACACATCGCGGGAGTCGTCTCCAGCACCACACTCCCCTCTCAAAGACGAGTTCACCACTGGAGAGAGTGAGCCCATGCGAAGTGCCATGTCGCTGCGGTCATTCCACATGAACCCCAGTAACTCCATGTCGTCTCGCCGCAGGTCAATGCAGCCCTTGCCAATCACTAATGAACACTTGATCCAGACCACGACTGTGCCCTCTACAATCAAGCGACACTCCTTGTACAGCCCGGTCTCTCCGACAGTGCCAGAACTAGGGAAGCCGTTCGTCGCGGGCCCGGTCGTACCAGTGAAGGAGGAGACAGCTCCAAGCACGGTCGACAATGCGCCAGCCCGCTCGTCTCCCTCTCAGCCAAAGATCGATACTTCCGTTCAGGCCGCTAGCGATGACGTTGTACCCACTCGTGAGGATAGCCCAGTACGGTTCAACGCGCACATCTACAGCGCTACACCTCGACGGGATACCATTTCACCTCCTCCCAAAGACCCTGCTCCTGTACCCCCGCCACCCGCCCAGCGTCAGTCAATGATGGGCCCAGCACCCATGTATGCTTCTACTGCCAGTGCTGGTGATGGCAAAACTCGTCGCCGGATCTCGCCAAAGCCCTTTTTACGCCCATTTCCAGTTCGTCCTCAAGCACAGCATGGCGACTCGTCCACGATCCTGCCAAGGCGGCAGTCTTCTCTCACGCCTTCGCCAACACCTTCGCCACTGCCATCTGGTATGGTCATGAACCGATCGGTCACTGCCCCCGTAAGGCCGCCGTCGGCAGCTTCGAACATGACGCCCACAACCAACCCACACAGTCTGCATTCCGCGCAAGCATCGCAACAACTGCGCCGTCCTGCTTCGGTACAAGTACGCTCAGCCGACCACGCGCCTTTCCTGTCAAACCGCCCAATCCGCGCCATCGCATCCACGCCGTCCTTTGTTCCCGGCCGAAGAATGTCCAACGCACTTGCTCCATCATCAGACACCAGATCTCACAAGCCAACACCTAGTGTCGAAGCACTCCGACAGCAAGCTTTCGCGCAGCAAAAGACCATTACACCCCGACGAAGCCTTGCATCCATGGGCCTACCACCACCCGCCCCACCGCCAACCATGCCACTACCGACACTACCGACCCCACCGCGCAACCTAACTTCACCCACACCACCACCCAACATGCCGCTCCCTCCACCACCACCATCGAGCATGGGTCTCCCCGCTCCACCACCCACCATGCCACTGCCTCCCACACCACCCGAGGCCGCGCTACGTGCTTCGGCAGTCTAAAACAAATCTGTTACAAACCCGATATTGATATTGTCTATACCCGCTGGCGTTTGGATCACAAGCGACCAGGATGCGGTCGTTACGTCGTCATGTCTTTTCTTACGTCCCTGTTATGCCGACCGATACAAAATCTTGTTTTTGCTTGTCGCGCGATACCAGTCTGCTATTTACCGTCGTCGTTGCTATCAACACTTTCCTTGTGCTGTCAATGTTCGCTTCGTTGTGCATCCTTCAAAATCTTACGCTTCATGTATTTTGCCGTTTACACCACTCCTTTCATCTTCTTCGATTCGTTTTCCTTCGGGAAGGGGGGGCTGTGCCCGTTTTTAGTGCTTTGGGCCGCTTTTTTCTTTTCGTGGTAATGAATTAGGGCTTGGGTGGCTGCTCTCTTTTTGGTTTTCTATACCATCTTTGGATTGGGAGGATGTGGGATATAAGGGACACGAACACAGACTGGAAGTTCGTTCATCGGCGCTTTT